TTGAAAGAACACCTATGTGACAACACATTGAAAAACAGTTCTATCTTGTCTACTTCCAAAATATTCCTCCAAAAAATTATCAACACATTGAACAACATTGTTCTTTCAAACATTACAGAGAGTGATAGATTGATATATGCTTGTGTTATTTGTCTTCTTCTCTCGTCAGTCATCCTCAGTTTTTTCCTTTTTCAAGTAAATGGCTTAGGCCATCATAGATAGGATGAAACTTCCAATAAAGCTGAAATTGCTTTGTATCAATCCTTTTATGTTTTCATATACTCTTCTACTCTTTCTTATTTAAGAAATCATCTATCTTCTTCACAACACTAAGTAGTAGAGTGAGAGTATCGAAATAAAAACAAAACAAAATGGGTTCCGAAAACTCTGTGAAGAATTACAACTCCGACGACAGTGATGCCTCCTACACAAACGACACGATTGCGGCATCACAAGGGGATAGTGGTGACTCGAACTTAGATGGCACCCACTATTTCCGAAACATGGATCTCGGATATTTTGTTGCTGAGCCACAACTGATGCTCGAGGACCATGCAAAGTTAAAGGAACTTTGCTTACAGAATCATAACCCCGAAGCTTTCTACATTGAAGGGTTATTACAATACTTTGTCCACAAGGAAGAACGCAAAGGTCTTCGCCTTCTACGTCTAGCAGCTCTTGGAAACAATAAAAACGGTATGTACGTTTATGGTTTGTTAATGCTTGTCCGAGGTCACTATTTTAAAGGCATAAAGTACTTGGATAAACTCAAATGGTCAAAGAAAATGCCGACCTCTGATAAATGTTGGGAAAGTCTCAAGATCTCACTCAAAAAAATCGATGTTACTATACCGCAAGACTACTATATAAACATGGTTAACCTTGCCCCACGGTCAAAGTGCAATCGTTATGACATGAAAGAGTTTTGCAAGGAGTGTTACTACTTCAAAAGGGCATACCAGTTTGTCAAAAATTACACTAATATTAGCTGAAAAACTCATGTGTTGTATTCACGGTTTCTACCATTGCTTCTACTTTAAGGTCTTCTTAGTTGTTTTCTTAAGTTACTTGTGATAGTAAGGTCGTCTGCTTGCTTTCTTATGCAATGTTATGAATGTAATGGTATGTTTGTGTTATTAATATATGCATGAATCAATGTTGTGTAATTTCGACCATAGCCAATAAACAGATAAAGTAATTATGAGGCTTTTATATAAATAAAATCAATAATATAGGTTCAATCCACAAATCCGGATTTGATAGATAATGACGTAACTAATTATAAAACAATATAAAAATAAATCGGCAAAACACAAACTAATAAAACTTAAAGCCTCAAAATGATAAACCCTCACTAAGTCACCCATTAGCCACTTTTAGTTTTCTTCTCCTGCTTGATTTTGATTGTGCATGGCATCTTTGTAACCGTGCTCTGCTCAAATGCGTCCTCTAAATTTCTCGACGGTCCTCCCCTACGTTTGGCTGGTGTCTTCTCAGCTGACTCTATCTGCTGAGATGAAGTATCAGATAGGATGAGTGAACCCTGATAACACACATGTATTAGCACGAACGTTGAACAAAGATAGAAACTTATTGCTATGAATAACATTTGACTCCAACAATGTATAAAATATTAACAAACTTCGGCCGCATCAGACTAAATAGAGCACTCTGGATCAGCAACATTCTTATGTGCATCCTAAGAACATGTATGAAATTCGTATTACTTTCCGCGTATAATGTATAAAGAAGTCAAGCGCTGTTTAGATATGAAAGTAATATAGGGGCTGTAAGCTCAGAGGTATAATTTACCGAATTTTTGTAGAACTCTTCAACCAAATCTTCGTTAGCTATGATCTTCAACACTTTGAAAGTATCATGCTTATAGGTGAAATTTTCCTTCTCTATTCCGATCTTGAACAGATATCTCTTCCCAACCAAAGAGGTTAGCTCCAGAGGTAACATTTCTGGTTCTTCAGTCTTAAATATAATATGAGAACATTATATAAACAAATGAAAATATTAAAGAAAGTATACACCAAGGAATCAAGATAGGAAACTAAATAATAAGAAATAAATAATTTTACCTCATCGTAGTTCAAGTCAGTTAGCTCAGCACACGGTTTACCAATCAGTTGAGCAGCTAGGTTATCAAAAAGCATGAACTTAGAGTAACCTGTATGGTCAACAACATCTAAATGCAACTTGTACCTATGTTAAAATAAATAATTACAACCAAATGTTAGTACAATAGGTATCACAAAAGCAAGAACAGTTACATATAGCTAAATGAAATATATATACGAATAGGTCACCTTGGGACAACTTTTGGTTCATGCACTTTGCATTTGACACAATAATACTTGAAACCCATGAGACCCTCGTCATCTTCATCTTCAATATCATCATTAGGCACAGCCAAAACCTTTTTCGCACACACTTTGCAACTAACATAGTACCACCCCATGTCAGAGTCAACTGATGCAACATTGCAGACAACAATGCACTTTTCAACCTGTAAGATGTATCCCAAAGTAAACAAACAATTGAAATAACACTATTAATATAATGTGAGATTTCGGAATTTAGATTTAACATCTTTTGCCTCAAGCAGATTGACAATCGTTTTCCTTTGAGTGTGCACAAAAAAGTCTTCCTTATCAGCAAGGCCGGACGCCATAGCAACAGATTTAGAATCCACGATTGCTAAAGCAGTATCATCTTTAGGCAACCTAGTAGTAATAAAAAATAAACGCAGGTTATTGTTAGATACAAAATATTTTAAAGTACACTTTTTTGCTAAAAGGAAAATAATATAAGAAAGAAGGCAGGGGATAACTTACAACGACACAAAATGTGCAACCTCTGCCATATTAGGGTTCAACGTTAACTCTGACACATTGTATGCATTAGAGACACTTCGATCATCTGCGTCAAAATCAAATTTTTTAGTTACAGGGGATCTGTGATAATTGATAACTTAACATTACGAAGATAGACTAAATTTACCTTTCCAAACTTTGATTTTGGCAAACCTCAATAAACAAATGATCTTATCTCCTGCTCCATGTTGAATAACATCGTTTACGCCAGCTGCGAACTTACCCCAGAGAACAATAGGAAGTCGTTCATCCCTGAATAACATTAAAACACATATACTCCTTATAATATTCGTGTATAAAACTTATGAAAAGTATTTGGCTCAGTAAAGCCATATCATAATACTTACTCTGTGTTACGTAACTCCAGTGAAATCTTTTGAGTATCTTTTCCCTTAACAGAGAGCACTTCCACTTGTGAAACCTCAACTATTTGCCCTAAAACATCTGATAAGAAAATGAAAAAAAAAAATTAGCAGAAAAATAATCTATTATGACGAATGTCAAAATAAATTGCAATAAAGTTTAAGATAACTCACCAACCAAATAGTCAGGGTTGAGTGTACCATCAAGTACATCTCGAAAGTTGACTGGTTGCAAACCAGTCAACGCCCTTGGTAGTTCATCGCATGTCTTCACACGAGTTGTTGAAAGGAAAGCAATCTTGTACTGGTGATTTGTGGTCCGGTACGACCCACAAGCTTGGTTAAGGGTGAAATTTATGAGAACTTTCGAACTCCCTTCAGAGAGAAAAGGATCAAACTGACCAACCAAATCCTTTTTCACAGTAGCATGGATCTTGTCCCCCTACGAAAAATCATAAGCAGACATTAAATAATGACACACGTAAGAAAAATATAATGAATGAAATAAATAACAAATTCGAAATCGCTATTTTACACTCACGTTGGCATCCACCAAAACCATTTCAATGGTCAGACCACCAGCAGCAGAGTACTGCTTCCAAAGCCGAATAACCTTCACTCGGACTTTCCACATGGTTTTTAAAGGTTTCAAATCAGAAACTGCGGTGACAGCTGCCATTTAGGATGGGTTATGTTTCGAGTAGGAGATGGTATAGGTTTAATTTTTTGAATGCTTAACCCTATTGCACGGATTCTTTATATAGGGGACAATAGGCGTGCGAAGCAGTTTTTTTAGGTCTGGAATATTCACTATCAATTCCTTACCATAATGACAAACTATATATTTTTGCGTGGGCAGGTTCACCACGCCTTTTAACTTTACAATAAATACTTACCAAAAGTATGCACAATACATATATGTTATTTATTTTTTAATATAACAGTAACCATATTCGTAATGTATCAATTATTTGAGTATATATATGATGTTTTCTTAATTCCCTTTCCAAATTTCAAAAAATGATAGATGCAGTATCATTAAAATTGGAAACTCAGTACTTAATTACGATTTATTATATTATACATATATCCCCTATGTATTTGATAATCCCAATATTGAAAAGATAAATATATTGAAAACATATGTAGCTAAAAGTTATTCAAAGTATAAAATATACCAAGTTGCAAGGTATATTCTTTCCAAAAATATATATATTCAAAAGATCAGCATACATATGATTATATTATGTACCAACTCAATATAAAGATTTTTACGATATCTGGTCGTAATATATCTTCTGAAAACCATAGCTGATATTTTATAAACTGACGCAGAAGCCAAAGACAATATAAACAATATATTGTGTGTGATCTAGGTTATTTGTTTCTGAAACTATGCATTTATTACAACTGTACCATTACAATTGTTAATGATTGTTGACAATTATAAGCTTTCAATAATGTTATTCACTGGCTGTTTGGAGATCATAATGTAAGTAACTAAACATCACATATCACATACAACAACAAAAGTTATTGCATTGCGATCATTCTGTTATACCATTGTAATAGTATTTAATGCAAAAATGAGGCTTTCTTTATATTATAAAAAGAACATGATTCAATCCAAAAATCTGGACTGATAGATAAGAACTAACAAATGAAAATAAAATTAAAATCATTGTAAGATGAAACAACTCTGAAAAAACAACAGTAACAGGAAAGACTAATTATAATGGTCACTTATAACGAAGATTTATCCTCTCTTAGAATCCTTTTCCTGCTTAATCCTACGGCTATAGACCAACTTTGTAACCGACTTCTGAGCATAAGCGTCCTCTAAATTATTAACTGATTCTCCACGGCGTTTAGCTGGTGTGATATCCGCTGCCTCCACAGGAGGAGATGAACTATCAGTCAACATGAGAGAACCCTAATCATAAACAATGGACCATTACCATGTATTCAAAAAAGCTACAAATTAAACCACTCCTAGACATCATTAAACTAAAAACAAATCATACATACACACCTCAGCAGAAGATAACATTGACTCTGTCGTAATGAGGTTAAGGACATCCTAATTGCACAAACCGTTAGCGTTAGAAATCATTACTAACGATTGAAGAAAAAAATTATTATACATGCTTTAAATCATATATTAAAAGAATAAATAATATTACCGTTGAAGCACGAGAACGGTTACCATCAAACTCTTCAACCCAATCTTGGTTAGCTATGATCTTAAGAACTTTGAAAGTATCATGCTTATAGAGAAAGTTCTCCCTACCAATCGTAATCTTGAACAAATAAGTCTTACCAACCAGATTGGTTATTTGAAGAGGAAGCATCACCGGTTCTTCCAACTGAAATAGACATAATTTAACATTAATAATCCATTAAACAGTTGAAACTAATAAGAATTACTTCAACCATACTAATAGTTTATTTGCATAAATGAAACTGTATACGAAAACAACATAAAAATAGTTTACCTCTTTACTCATCAATCCAGTTAGTTCAGCACAAGGTATACCAATGAGTTGTACAGCAAGGTTATCAAATAGCATGAACTTGGAGTGACCAGTATGATCAACGACATCAATATGCAACTTATACCTTATTTTTTTTAAAAATATTATAATTATAACGTTTATTAAACGATAAAAAAAAACAGTACCCACTGCATTTCATTTTTAGGAAATATTACCTTGGAACAACAGTTGGTTCATATATTATGCATTTGACACAAAAATATTTAAACCCAAGTTCATACTCGTCATCTTCATCGTCAACATCATCATTTGGGACAACCAACAACTTTTTCGCACAGACCTTGCAACCAGGGTAAAACCAACCCATGTATGAATTAATAGACGCAATAGTGCACATAACTACGCAATCTTCAACCTGTGGGAAATTTAAAAAAAAATGTGTTTGAATTCCATATGTGAAAGCAAAAATACTACAATGGAGGAGTATTTGTTTGAGAACCTGGTTAGCTTCCAATAATTGAACTAATGTTTTCCTGGGACTGCGCACAAAAAAAACATCCTTATCATCGCGGGTTACCACCATACCGTGGGTTTTAGGCTGGACTATTTGTAAAACAGTATCATCCTTAGGCAACCTATTAGTAATCAAAGAAAATTTACAATGTTGTCAATATTTTGAAATTCAAACTATAAATAATTGATTGAATAAGATCTATTATTTTCCCATTAATTTGATTGTATAGGGATGACTAATATCACTTACAGCGAAATAAAATTCATAACCTCTGCCATATTGGAGTTCAATGATAAGTCAGACACATTGTAGGCATTTGAGACACTTCGATCATCTGAATATATAATATGAAATAAACTATAAACATTATATATTACAAATATTAAATACAGAGGGATATGAATAATAAGATGCATACAGACTTAGATATTATACCTTTCCATACTTTTATTTTCCCAAACCTAAGTAACATGATGATAGAAGATTCTCCTTTAGTTTTAATTGCATCATTCACATCTGAAGCGAACTTTCCCCATAGTACAACAGGAAGTCGTTCATCCCTAGATAAAAGTATCGATATATTAAAACATGTACTGTGGTAATATATTTTGATAACGAAAATGTTAAACTCACTCTGTGTTACGTAACTCCAAGGAAATCTTTGGTGTCATATTGCCGTGAACAGATATCACATCCATATGTGAAACCTCAACTATTTGCCCTAAAATATCTGTATCAAATAGATACGGTTGAAGTGAACTATATAACTGTACTTGAACGAAAACATAAAACATCGTATAATAGAACATTATCTCACCAATCAAATAGTCAGGGTTGAGTGAACCATCTAGTATGGCTCGATAGCTTACAGGCTGAACGCCAGTCAATGCCAAAGGTAGTTCCTCGCAGATCTTGACTCGAGTTGTGGAAAGAAAATATATTCGGTATGGGCGGCTCGTTGTGTGGTACGATCCACATGCAGGAGTAAGGGAAAAGTTGATGAGCATTTTCGATGTCCCTTCACTCAGGAATGGATCGAATAAACAACCCAAATCCTTTTTCACGGTAGCATGGATCTTGTACCCCTGATATCATTAAAATCATACAAAGTGGAATAAGTATGCAAATAAACATTGAAACTGTAACACATTAGACTACTAAGATATACAAAATAGTAGTATACTCACGTTATTGTCGAGTAAAACCATTTCAATAGTGAGACCACTGGGAGCTGAGTACTGCTTCCAAAGCCGGATTATCTTCACTCTGATTTTCCACATGGTTTTGAAAGGTTTCAACTCAGAGACACCGGTGAAAGCTACCATTGCCATTAGTTTCTGACTGATACTATTCAATATAAATGAGAGGAAGACGTTGACAAATGTGAGAATGCATAAACCGTAATGCATCCCATCCCTTATATATATTTAATAGACGTGCATGATGTGACAATTAGGTCAAGAATTTATGATTACTCACACTTACCTTACCCAAAGATGTAGAAAATTCTTTGCTTCCCAATTTTTAGCAATATTATAAACGTAAATCTACAATATTGCTATAAACATTTCATTCCATTTATATTTTACTTACAATATGATATAATGATGACAATTAAATGATGACCAAACTTCACGCACAAGTAATATAAAAGATTTAAACAGAGTTTCCTAACCTATATACAGAGTTTCCTAACCTATACGAAAATAAATATCATAACATTAATTAATGTTAATTAATGCACCTTATAATCGACTCTTTCATTGTCGAGTATATCGACTATACATAAATCAATATCAATATATCGAGTTTACATAGATAAATGCGTGGCTATATACTATAGTCCTATAACCAAGAGTTAAATGTTATATTTTGACATTCCTAGTTAAGTTGGTTCGTTTAAAATTTTTAAGCTGAGAAGCGCTGTGAGGTTGACACGTCACTATGCTCTTCAAAGTTGTGCATTTATGAATGCTCCAGGATTAATATATAGGGGATTAAGGCTCATTTGTCTTATTATGCCATCTCATATAATAAATCAAATTTAAAACATAATTTTTACTCTTTAAAACGCATTCAATTACAGATACACAAAATTATTTTCAGCTATTATCGATTTAATCTCAATTATCTATATGCCATCTGGTTACAATTTGGACTCATTAAAATTACACGCCAACTCTTATAATAAATCAGTTTAAAAGTTTTTTAATACGGTTATAATATACCTTCATATCACAGATAAAAAATTATTTTATAGATATTACCGTCATAATCTCAATTATGTATTATGTATATGGTTATATGATTTTGTATCCGGTTTATTTTTTGGGCACAAATTAAGACTCACTTGTCTTATTACGCCATCTCATATAATAAATTAAGTTTGAAACATAATTTTGAGTCCGGTTCTAAACATATTCAGTTACAGTTACAGTTACACAAAATTATTTGTAGCTGTTATCGTCTTAATCTCGATTATCGATCTATTATCTGGTCACAATTTGCACTCATAAAAAATATTGTAGTTATTGTGGTGAATCAAGACTAGTCTAAGATATATATGTGACTTATGAATTACTTAGTAACTAGGTGATTTTCCCGTGCTCATGCACGGGTATAAATATTTTTAAAGTAAATATATGATAATAATTGATTACTATTTAGTTTTAATTTTCAATTAATTTATAATTTGTATGTATCATTTATATTAATAATATTATATTACTTTAATTATAATTTAATTTTATATATGTTATATCTACTCGATTTTGTTGTTTTTACGGTTGATGTAGTTATCATTTGGATAAATTGAATTGCATCTCTGAATTCGACTGTAATATTTTATAATTTATTATTCTTTTATTAGTTACATATTTGCATATAGTGGGTGTTGTCTTAGATATGTAAATATATTTTAGTAAAATTATGTATAACTTAAGATATATTGTGCTTATAATGAATTAACAATTAATTAAAGTGTCTGATTCCAAAATACGTAATTTAATATAACAACAATATTCTAAAGTCTCATACATATATATAAATTTACAAAAGAACTAAATTGAATTGCATCTCTGAATTGTAAGAGTTGGTTAATATTTATTTTCATTTGTTAATATGTTTTGTGTTATCCTTTGATCAATAAAAGGCTACATGCATAAGTAGTTGATACATTTTTGGAACCTCATGAACACATATCAATATTTACAATAATTAAAATATTTATAAATTCTAAATAACTTTATGCTTTAGATTTATTGAATGTAAACTGAAATTTATTTTAAATAATCTTAAAATTGGAAAATTCATATTTTCTTTGGTATTTTGATTATGGTTATATTTAGTTTCACAAACATAAAAATTTTAAATAAAATTGAATATTAAGAAAAAAATAATTTTAATAATGATAAAATTATTTGATCAAACGATGTTTATTGTTAAATTTTTTTTTTAATATCTCTTAAAAATAAGCACTACATAAAATTGTGATTGTATTTGAAAATAATATTATATAAGTAAAATATAATTTATAGATAATTTTCTGTAATGGAAAGATATTATAGTCAACTAAATATATGAAAAAATAAAAAATTCAATAATACTAATTATAAAATATTTTTATTACTCTAAAAATATATTTTATGTTATTTTATAAATATTTTTAAATGTATTATTACTATTTTGTGAACTTTCCTTTTTTATGAAATCATATTATATATACATATATTTTTCGTTTTCAATATTTTTTAATGACTTTATAAAAATTTCCTTTTTATTACATATATTTTTAGAAATTTTTGAAAAGGAAACTAAATAAAAAAATTAATAATACTATTTTAACTATTTTTAATTCATTAAGGGTATCAATGTAATCAACCATCGTGAGAACGAACATAAGAGCGACACATAGGAAACTGACTTCTCAAATAATATTATAGAGATTAACATACATAACAAATTTATGGTTGACAAAATATTCGAATCAGATCAAAGGCAGCTTCAGTAAATCAAACAAAAAATCTGGATTAGATCAAAGTTGGAAATTTATGGTTAACAAAAAGATTATCTGTTCGTTAGTCTTACTTGCCATCATTCCTTTAATCTCCGTCGCTGTCACCCCCATGATTAAATTTCTTCGAGTGCTCCTTAACGCCGTATCTTCGTCTTGTTTCTGATCTCAAAGAGACTACACAAAAAAAAATCAGAATAAAAAACAATACATTATCAGATCAGACTAAAACAATGAAAATTGGTTGTAATTAGTGTTTATGACTTTCCAAAAATTCAAAAAAGAATATAACTTTCCAGAAACCAACAAAAAGCTTTCACAAAAGAGAGATCTATAAAAATGAATCAAGAACATGAGAGGATTGCATTATTACCAAAGAGACTGAGCTGCTAGAAAGACACTTCACAGCTATTTCCTTCCCATCTTGAAGCTTTCCCTAAAGACATCATAATTGCAGACAATCAAATAAAGAACAAGAAACATTTGCATAAAAAAATTAAAACAGAACAATTTCATCGGAAGAAAAGAGAGGATAATAAAAGTGATCAGGGTGTTTAGAACCAGGACTATGATACTTTTGACTCCTGGATTTTTTATAAGTGAGAAATGGGAGTTAATGTTACAAAGAACTTCATCATTAATTTAAGCGCGTGCTTCACTGGAAAAATAAAGGTTTGTGTCAGTCATGTGGCTGCACCTAAATAGGGGTAACGTTGGTATTACAAAATTTATGAACGATACAATTCAGACAATATCCATTTACCTAATTCACAAATTTTCTTTGGTCACCTGATGCAAATTCCCTATAAATTATCCGGTAAGTTAAGTCTAGGTGGAAAGGAGAGGCATTCCCTCCTTCTACAGCTTAAGTTGAATTTTTGATTAGTTTGACTGGTCTTGACCCAAAAAAAAAGATTAGGTTGACTGGTGTTAAACTTGTTTGGAAAACAATAAACCGGATAAAACTTTATGGATAATTAAGACCGGAACTAATAACTCAGAGATAAACAAGTTTGTGATTTTTAGTTTAGAGAGAAATAAGTTTGTAATTTTTAGTTTAGAGAAATAGGTTTGCAATTTTTAATTAGGATAGATTTAACAAAACATAATAGTTCGATATATATTTGATGATATATGATAATTTTCATGGAGAAATAGTACATTAACCATAATAAACAATATGAAGCTTAAAATTAACGTTCTAAGATGACTTATTGGAAAAATGAAAATATTGAAGCAAAGGTACTTTATCTATAGCACAAATTTCAGGATAATGTAAGTTTTATGTTACATTCAGTTACAAAAATAAAAAAGTTTTATGTTACACAAGTAAGCCGACATTGTTAAAAAAACTTTGATATTATATAGTATAAACATTTAGATCGTTTTCAATGATTTTCCTCATTTTTAAATGAAATTATAAACTCACAATAAATTTATGAATTAATCCCTTAATTTTTTTCCTTTTCCCTCACTTCTTGAAATATTCATTTTCATTTTTAACTATGAATAATTAAAAAAACTATTTGATAAGATTTAAAATTTTATTCACTTATTTTAAAATTTTAACTAAAATCTTGTTTTCTTAAAATAATAGTGAACTTTATTTAAACAGTACTGCTTTTTTTTTTGAAACACTTTTTTTGAAACACAATTTAAACAGTACTGCTACTATATTTTCTCCACAAATAATCAGTCAAAGAATGTTCTATGTTTTGTTAAGTTTAGTTATGTATTTTAATGTTACTGCTTATTAGTTTATCATATATATATATATATATATATATATATATATATCATTACCGAATTATACGTTTTATATTCAACTATTTAGTTTATATGTTATTTGATAATCACATTTTAAAAAGTGTAATTAATATTACATAATGGATAAAAGCGGTAAAGTAATTAATATTATATCCTTTTCATTTTAAGTATCATTTTTAGATTTATGCACATAAATTAAAAACAATTAATTTTGTATATTTTCTAAATAAAAACACCATTAACTATACACTTAATCATATTTCAATAAAAAAAAATAATATAACGAGTCATATAGCATATAAAGTTAATAAATTTTGCATTGAAATTTTAAAATGACACTTATTTTGTAACAAAAAATTATTTTACAACAACACTTAATATGAAATAGAGGGAATATTTTACTTATGCATACAACAAATATTTTTTTTCAAAAATTTAGGAATTTTTATACAAATAAAAAATTACAACATCATAATGAGTTTGTGAACATTATTCCTTCAATATAATGTATTACCAAAGATATTTTTTTTCTCATTTTATGTTGGTGTATGGGAGATGTTTTACGCTATTAATAATTTAGACATCCAGTTACACGTTAGCCAATTACTCGGCTATTAGTTTTGTATTTATGTTTTTCAATTTCAATTGTAATATAATTTTCTTTTCGTTATATGATTAGTGGAGAAAAGTGATAATCCGCCCCAGTGTCATCACATCATGTAGATGTACATCCAACTTAAAAATAGACTAAAGTTTGTTCTGCACGTCCATGTAGATATGTTTTCATCTTATAAATTTATAATGTTGATATTACAGTAAAAGTTTTAAATATATGATTTATATTTTAATGTTATATATTATACTATATATTAGTGTTAGATCAACCTTTGAGAACATATTCATAATGTAAGTTTCTTCATGTCTCCTCCGAAGAAGCGTTTTTAACATCACATACACAATAAAAAATAACATGCTTAACATACACTACATTAAGTGTGATGATAAAATAATACATCTTCTTTCGCCATCTTCAAAATTTTACTTTCTCAAGCACTTTAAAGTTTTGATATAGTTATCACACTAATACAATCACAAAAAAAAAACACTTTTTAATATTGCTGGTTAATTTGGGCTGATAATTCGAATAGGTGTGAAATATAAACTTGGATACTTTTTTAAAGAGTGTTTTGACCATATTTTAAGCTTTGGACTACAAGAAATTTCTTTGTAAGATAAGATAATATGTGGTACTTCAAGAATAACATATAGAACTTTAGTGTCTATATGTGTTACTTCTAAGATCTTTGAACAATGAATCACTCTTGATATCTATTAATTAGTTTCTGATTTCTTGTTCTAGTTATGATTTGTAAACTCTCATAAGTCTTTATATAAAATACTAAGGGTTATACTGGTTAGCACTAATAGTTGCAATGGTTAGGCAAGAGTTACAACTATTAATACCAATAGTTATAATGATTAAGCGAAAATCAC